ATTTTTTTTGTTACTAGCAAAATAATTTCAAACGTGCATTAGAACTCTCTCTCTCTTTTTAAGCTATTGATATTCAAATTGTCTCTCTTTGTCTTCTCTATTCATTCATACCAAAAAGTCATTGAATAGTCATAGGATTGTTTCAAAAAATAGATTGTTTTCGAAAACTCGATAGTTTTTGCTTGAATTTTCTTGAAAATTTATTTTTGCTATTACTTTTTAAACTAGTGATCAATGAAGTTCATCATTTTCAGATTTTCATATTGACTTTATGTGTAATGAAATGAGACAAAGAAAATACAATTCTGAGGATATTCACGGATGAACCTGCCTATCTTTCTCACAAACTGACTCTTAAGTACTTTGTAACACTGCATAGGACTCTTTATTCTCATCTATTATATTTCAAATCCTAAATTCATGCAATGTTTAATGTACATGAACTGTGTACCGAGTATAATTCTTGTGAAGGCTTACACATTTGTTTTTGTTTTTTCTTGCTTTTTTAATAGATAAAAAAGTGTGACATGGAACTACTATACATACTGTTGTGTTGTCAATTTTGTTTCTTCCTGTATACTCATCATTGATGGTGTTGTTTTTGGTTCTGTTTCATTTTGAATTGGCTTTGGCGTTGTCGATGAAGATAATTGTTGTTGTTGATTATTTTGACGATTTTTTTCTATTTCTGCTGTTAATTTATTCATAGCTATTTCAAATTCATATTGTGTAAAATCAATATATAATTTTTGTCCACATATAAAACCTAACCATCCATCTGGATCATATTTTTCTCTCATCATTAATGGTATAATAGATCTTTTACGTTTACGTGCATATTCAGCTTCTGCTTTACAATTTTCACTACGTTTATATGTTTCAGACATACACATTAATACAGTATTGGAATTTTCTATAGCTGATGCCATAGAATCAATTATTGAACCATGCATTTTATCCCGATCTATCCAAACATTATAATGTTTATTTGCTATTAAATAATCAGAAATTTTATGTGCTAAATCCATATCATTCCATGAATAACTAATCATTAAATCATATACTTCTTTATTTCGTTGCTCATTATTATTATTTTTCAATGTTTTCTCTTCATTTTCTAATACCCATAGAACACCGTTTGCAGCTTTTTTTATACGTTCAACATCTTTTTGTTCTTGTTTTTCATCACATGCATATTTATTATTTTCCATTGTTAAAATTGATTTTACAGTTGTCATAAATAATTGATTTTGCTTAAGAATTTCCGCCACTTGCTCATCAAATGCTAATATACATATTAATTCTAATGCATCTGATTGATTTGGTGTAGAAAGCGGACAATCATAATGATCACGTTGATATAAATATTTTATAATAAACGATACACCATCTTGTTTAATAAATTCTTCTTTTATTTGATCATGTTGTAAAAAACCTAAAAACAAACGACATTAATTCAGTTAAAACACATCAGATAGGATAATTGTTTGTATAAATTTTATATGAATCAGTCAGATCTTTCATATAAAGGATATTTCATAAGTATGAATTCACTGTAAAATATATATGTCATAAAATAATGATATTTGTTAGCGCAGTGAAATATTTAGTAAATTATTGTCCATATATTATATTATTTTTCTGTAAAACAAAATTTTATGGTGCTCAACAGTATGTTGTAGCAAAAAACCAGACTTCCAATTCGGATTCTGTAAAATTGATTCTGTTATAATCCTCGTTAAAATTGAGTTTATTTTTATTAAAAAGTCGAATTTTTTTCTTTCGAACTTATTTACAATCAAAGAGTGATTTTCAATGGATGATGGAGAGGAGGATAAACTTAATGAGAGAAAGTCACCATGACTGCTATTTAGAGAAAGATTTTATAGTAAAAAAACCACAATATCTAATTCTAATTTCAATAATAAGAAAAAGAAACTATAACACATAGAATTTCTATGGTAGTAAAAATTATTTTACTCACCTTTTAGTGTGTCGATTAATTGTGTATGATAAATAGAACCTAGACAAGATTGTTTTTCATGTGCCTCTTTTAAAAATCCAATAAAAACTGATGTTATTTGATCAGGTTGAGGCAATTTTTTAACATCATTTTCACTCATAACTAATGCTAATATATTATAAGCAAGACGTTGTATTGATTGAGAATTAACAGTTGTTAATTTTAATATTGTTTCTGCTATATGTTTATCTTTTATAATTGAAATGATATTCGAATCACATACACAGGCATATATGTTGTGTAATATACTATAAATAAATATCGCTGGTATACTTGTTTCATTTAATGAATTCAAATCTGGTGGAAATTCAGCTTGCCAAATAATCCTAATTTCATAATTCTGGTTTTCTTCACTATTATCTTCCAATAGAAAACCATCAGGCATCTTATTGAATAATAAAATCAAATCATCAAAGACATTTAAGAATTGTTTTGTTGTATATAATCTATTTAAAATTAGAATAATATACATCAATGAATTTTTAATTGATTTATTTTCAAATTTATTTGATATAAATATTAATTCTTTTAACATATATTCATAATATTTTGACATTCTATCAAATAATTCATTATTTATATCTTCTTTTGCACTCCAAATATAATTTACACAAGTAAATAAAAAAAATTCATCTTTATCATTGTATGTACTTGGATCGTTTTGAATATGTTCAAATGAATTTTTATAATTAATTGTAGTAATATGTGCTAATACAAATTGATCAAGTGGTTTTAATATAATATCTAAACAATCACGTTCTCTATAATCTGTCATTGTTAATTTAGTTATTAATTTCGTCAAATTTGAATAATATTGATTCTCATACGTTTTTATTTTTAAACTATTTTCTAAACATATTTTTATTGTATTTATTAA